CTACAAATCCATCCTCAACATATTCACAATAAAACCTATATATCTTGACAAATTGGACTCCTATTAAAAGAGGCTGAATAATTACAAACAACCTAATCTTTGAAAGAATTCATAATCCATTCAACAAGAATCTTAAAACTTGACACTATATATTATTACTTGACAATATATTAGCTGTCTGTAAAGAATACAAATTGAGTAATACATTTTATCATACCAAATATTGCTACTTTAATGCAATAAAACCTATCTATAACTTTTAAGTAGACTACAAAAAAAAAATTCATATTAATTTAGAAGACTTTGAAAAAGCCCTAACACTAACTTTACTAACAATGTCAAGAACTCATAACCAAACAGTGCATTCAATTTTGGCTTATTTCCTATGTTCCTTTATCAACTCACCAATAATACTTTGGAATGATCTAGTAAAGACCAACTTTAATACAAAAATTATAATGATTCATATAATAAGTAGATGACAAAACATCGAAAATACTTCTTGAATAATAGTAAAATGCTATTTCCAACACTCTTATTTAATTTTTGAATGTTTCAATAACTCCTGGTCATCTCATTTGAACATACTAATAACTACATTAAATTTTATACTTATCTCATTAAGTCTCTGCATCTCGATAAATATATATATTAATAACTCTTTATTAGTTAATCTTGTTAACTTTACAAATGCAATCCAATCACATAATTATTTAACATTAGACAAACAACAATATACTTTTCTTCTTTTAACCCTAAAAGCCTTAGCATATGATCACATACTCATAATGACTCTTGATAAAGATCTTCAAATCCAAGAGACTCCAAATACAATCTTCTTACTAGATTCTGTAGCTCAAAAATTTCTATATAATCAGTTTGTTCCAAAACTCCTGAAAAATCCTTGCATTTATCTGATAAAAATTATACTAAAACAAGTATATCAAATTACAAACTGCTTAACATAATTCAACTAACAATGAATCTCACTATGGCATACTTCTTAAAATAATATTAATTGATCATTAATACTACAATATATATTATATAGAGAAAAATCTCTAGTTTTAATAACTAATCTAACCTTATCAGCAATCAAAAACTTCAAAATCAAACTAATATCTGAAGAACTATCTATTTATCTTTTTCATCATTGAAGAAAAACCAAAAAACATCCTAACCATTTCTGTGCAAGATATTATAATATATCAGAAACAATTATACATCTGCTAACATGTCTTAAAAACAATCCAGATCTTGAAACACTAATAAAATATATATTGATTAAAACAGTGAACAAGATGAAATTACGCTGTGATAATACAAGGAAATTTATTCAAGTCTTTACTTACAACCACATCAACAAACAAATACTACTAGGAATAATAATAAGTGTTACTTTAGCACCATTTAAAAACAATAAGCACAAACATAAATACACACCCCTTATTCACCATAACATCATTTCAACAATATACAAAAATATCTGACTTACTTCTAGAGCAATACAACATGAATCTGCTATCCCAATTCTACCTTCTGTACAATCATCAACTCTAATTAAAACTACACCAATTTTACATAAAATAAAAAGATACAACTTTATATTATGCATGGACAATCTTCTCTTCATCAGCTTATCAAAGACTAAAGGTTTACTGACCATTCTAGCAAAGAATAGGTTGAGAGTAAAGTAGCTTTTACCTCCATCTTCCCTAGTATAGTTTTTCATCATGTATTTCACATATATGTATAATTAACTAATTAATAAAAGAGATAGAGGATAGACCTCTTTTTTTTAAAAAAAATAAAATAAAATAATAATAATAATAATTACATGCTTAATTTTTATTGACCAATTATATAGTCATTATAAAATAACACACATATTTTTAATTATTTTTGTAATAATAACTTTTTATATATTGATATATTTAAAATAATTTTACAACCCAAATGTTCATAATGAGATGATTCTAACAAGCCCAAAATCATCCAAATCTAATCACAGAATCTCGAGATATTCGCGTGTGTCAAATAATAACGCACCTCCTACTGTGAACCGATCGGTTGAACATAGTAAAGACTATGTTCAACCGATCATTATTTGACACGCGAATAGCTCGAGATTCTGTGATTAGATTTGGGTGATCTGGGCTAGTTAGAATCGTTTCATTATAATGAGCATTTTGGTTGTAAAATTACTTAAAACAGACCAATATATAAAAAGTTATTATTTCAAGAATAATTAAAAATATTATATATTTATTATAAAAAACCAAATCGGTGCATATGATAAACTATGTAATTTCGATTATTTACAATTTGGATACTAACTAATATATGGGTCTTTGCTTTGAAAATCAAGTCATGAGACATAGTAAATTATATATTCCATAACTTGTTTTTCAAGCTCATATTTTAGTAATAATAATAATCAAACTATACTATATATTCAAAAAGAAATTATATAGTAAAATGTATTTAAAAGATTTAACTACAAATACAGTATAATACCAAATTATAAAAAATAATATAAAATACTAAATTTTATAGAAATAACTATCTATATCAAAATAATATAAATTATATAGCATTTGTTGAAACTAAAAATCGTAAATATATTTATATTTTTAAGTAATCTTACTTAAATATTTAGAAATTACAAATAATGTTTATAAAAATATTTACACAAAAAGATAAATTTAATCAATCAAAATAAAAAAAGTTAATCGATAAGTGGTCCAATGCATCTTTTAGTAAAAATAGGTATATGTGTATTCTAAAACCTTTATTCAGACAAAGTCATACCAAACAACCATAACATACCCCTTTATTCGCTAATTACAGTAATAGTGCACTTAAAACGAACCATGTAAGAGGTGCTTCGCTCTGCTATCAACGTTTTAGAACAGAGGTGATGATGGTACGTACCCTAGTTCTATATTTTTTTAGATAGTGATACAAATCACGGGTATCATTAAATTCTATGAGAGCCGTTTAATGCTTTATCGGTACAGATAGTCAGCATTCATATTACTTGGCATGCATTTTAATATATATTAGCGTTAGATGATCTTCGTTTGGATAACAAATAAAAAAAAGGATTTTCGCTTTAAATGTCATTTTAAGAAATTTTAAACGCCGTGCATACTCATTAAGTCACAAATGCATGTATATAAAAACGTTATCATTGGAGTAAAAAAAAAAATTTGATTTTTCTTAAACATGTCTTTGCGTTTACCCAACGAATGTGTTCAAAATATTTTAGAACACTTAAGCGAAAGTGATCATAAAACTTTACTTTCACTTGCGTTGGTAAATAGAAATTTTTGTCAAAACGCAATCCCACTTTTATGGAAAAATCCTTTATATTCAAGACGATCTTCAAAAAAACACTATAAAATAATCCCACTGTTACTATCGTTATTAGATGAAGATCGGAAATCGCTATTAAAATTTACCGAAAGAAAACTCATCATTCCTAATAAAACGATATTTTATTACACAACCTTTATCAAAAAACTCGATTTTATGAATCTTCTAGTACAAGTGTTTTATTGGTACAAAAAGAATTGTAAACCGGGAAAGTCCGAAAAAAAAAACAAATTTAGGAAATTCCTACAGAATAGTCATGGATGGATCCGATCTTGCATCAGAGGTTCATACAGGACGGTGACATTACTTGAAAAACAGGAAATATTAATATTTTCCGAATCCATTTTCGATTCATTATTCAAACACCACAAATTCACGGAATTTCAGATATATCCATCTCATCCATCTACCTATCTTCCACATTTTCCTCCAATAAAAATTAAAAACGGGTATTTTGTAAGTCCTCATACCCATAGAACCCACAGCAATCCTATCTCATTTAACAAATTCAATGCATTTAACTTGCTGGTAAAGTATGCGTCAGGCCTCGGGTGTTATTATATTGACACTTACTCAAAATATAGGGGTAAGGAACCTCTGTTGGGAAATTCTATTAGGTATTGGGTTGGAAATCAATATGATTTGATATTTGAAGGCGGTAATTTTGAATCAGGGAACAAAGATATTTTAAAGGTATTTGAGAAGATTCATGTGCAATGCTGGGACATTCAACAGGTTAAATTGATCTTAATATTTGATTCCTAGTGAATATAATATATTTTTTTTCGGTGTGAATTGGTTAAACTTTTTTTAAAAAACATATGTTAATAAAATTTTGTGATATAGGAAAAAATCTATTATTATAATTATTATAATGGTGGAGGTTGATCAAACTATACTCATCTAAAGATTGCATGTGTATATAATATATATAATTGTGAAAAATGATTTTTTTTGTAAATATTAGTAGTGTTGCAAAAGTTTTAATATTAACATCATATTAGCATCATGTGTACCATTGTTAATGGGTACAACTCTGATTTTTATATAATAAAGGTTTTACAAATTTTTTCTTGTTCTTAATTCATAATTTTATTTATTTTAAAAATGAAATCTTAGAACGCTTATCGTTATTGCATGTGAATGCAACAAATATATACTATAACAAGTTAAACAGTTTCTAATTTAAAATACGAAAAATAAAATAATTATTGGTGTGATAACGATAATAAAAAAGGTAATAAGTTAAATAAATCAAGCCATTCACAATACACATTTCAAACTTAAGAGGCATAATATTAATTAAAAACATGATTGAAACAATCATTTAATATATATGCATACATATACATATGTATGTTATATATATTTCTTATAAATTAGTACGTATAAAAAAAATAAGACCCTGTTACGTAAAGATTGTCAATAGTTATTAAATATGTGATACAATGAACATACCTAGTATTAAACATAATAAATATCAATTATTAAAAGCATAATTTAAAAAATCAAAATCTGTTTTATATTTTTTTCCTTTTGTTTGATGTTTTTTTTTTATTTTATATTATTTTTATTTATTTTTATTTTTATTTTTTTTGTTGTCAGCAAGACTTAAATTTTATTTATTCTGGCTCGCGTAATTGCTTTGCGGCAGGCTGGTCTTCGCTTTCTTCTTCCCTCGATGTACTAGAAAGCACGTCGACGTCGTCTGATGGATCCGAACGATCACATGATTCTTCATTGTCGTTGAAAGATTCAGTTGTTTTAGGATCATCGCTGGTAGTCGCAGGTTTTTCTAAGGGGGAGGTGGTAGTTTCAGGAACTTCTTCACTGGGTTGATGTGAATCTTCATTAGTGATTTTTCTATAACGTGTTTCCTTACGGATTGGAATTTTAATTCCCTGTTTGGCGAAAGCTTTAGAAAGCGCGGTAGATTCTAATGTATTAAGCATGAATTCGGGTTTATTTATTTATCTGACATACATGCATTAACAAAGTCAGAGTAGAACAATAACATGTTCAAGATTTAGAATAAATTCTATTTGATTTCGTACGTACCTGTCATACCCGGAAATTTCTTTGCAGAATAAACTTTAAAGGGTGCGCTGTACACTTCAGCTGCAACACTTCCACGAGTACTTGCGAATTCAGTGATAGATCTGCTTGTTACATGAATTTTTTAATTTATCTTTACCACAAAGAAGGTCTATGTGTGTGTGTTACGTGTACCAAAAGCATTACGTAATGCTAGTAACAACTTACTGAGCCATTAACTCCTTAACGTTACAAAAAGAGAATTTCAAAGTGAAAGTGCCTTCAGTACGAACAGAAAGGTCCTGAAATATAAAATAAATTCCCTGTTGACCAGAATGATTATTAAGCACATACGCGGACGAAGTACAATGACCCATAAGATTTCGTGTACTTGAGGGCGTATTCAGAGACATGACGGTTGAACTAGGGCCGGTAGATTGAGTAGGTATGGTTGAAGGATTGATTACTAAACTACGTTCTTCCTCGCAATCTTCGGACCATAGACCGGCATGAACGATCATCATGGAATGGTCGATAGAACTGTGAATATGATTCAATTTTATAACGCGATTAATTTGAAACTAATTTCATGATAATGAATTGGTGACCAAGATTTAACTTATACTCACGAAAATGTAAACAAGTTAGGTAAGACATTACCTTTCAGATACGGGTGTTCCATCTGTAGAGGCCACAATAAGCCTAACAACGGGTGGTGGATCTATTGGACGACGATCTTTGTCCCCGAAACCACACATTCTTGCTCGTACAGGTTGTTGAGAAACTTCTAATCTGTACCTGTAACTGTAATGCTTGATTGATGACTACTTTTCGATTTATTTGCGCGTTCCAGATTAAAAAAAAAAAACAAAGACAAGAACTCAAAACACTTACGCAATTTGTTCGGTGTGAGGCTCCAAAAAAAAATGTATATGCCGATCAGAAACCGTCATGGCTGATTTAACATAACTTTCTTTTTTTTTTTTTTTTTTTTTACTATGAATAAAAACTTTTTAACAAAAAAAAAAAGTTGGAGAAAATGAGTTATATTTAAAGATTTAAAATAATTTGAGCAACGTCCTAAATAGATGCGGTTGGTCCTTTTGTGTGTTTAATAAATAAAAAACCTGCAGTTACATTATAATCTTAGAGTTTACTGGTACATACTTACATGCTAGTACGATAGCTCGTACAAAAATAATAGAACGCCATACAGTATAATATATATAGTATACATATATATATATATGAATATATATATATATATATTATTGAATCTAATATCACAATAAACGGAAATAGGTCGAATACGTACGCCATAAATTTAGGGATAGTTCTTTTTGTTATATCCTGTATATTCTAATATGTGAATTGAAATCAAAATGATTAGCTTCCAAGAACAAAAATAAAAATAAAACAAATAAAATAACAATAAAAGCAAAAATAATTATACTAATCTATAATAAATATATATATATGACCCAATAAAAAGAATTGATTAAAACTTTTAAAACCAATATCATTCTGTTTAGTAATAGGAACAAAAACTTGGCCTCAAAAAGACTAAATCATCTACAATTATTAAAAGAAGACCATTAAGACTCACATTAGAGCTGCTAGTTGCATGGTAAAAAAAAAATTTCAAAGAATCAAACGAATCAAGTGTACAAACCAGATGTCCATCAGTTATTAATATTGTTGTTATTGGTGGAAAGATAAATCGCATGCAAGTGAGAGTTTATCTTTGATAATGAACGAGATTTATGTATGATCGAATCTCGATTGCAGCCATTCTTCGTTGATATCAACCCAACAAAACCAGGTCATGTGGTTGACGCACAAGGGATTGAACATCAAAGATGGTTTAGAATTATAATCTATTTATAACGATAATGCTACCAATAATGAGAGTTTTAATGCCACCAAAGGTGATATTAACGAGGTAGATTATATCACCCGAATTCTCATTTAACCATCTATTTCTGTAATTTTAGTAATATATATTTAACGTTTGAAATTCAGTTATTATAAAATGCACCTAGGTGTTTATGCACCTACAGACTTAAGATAGGTCAGGTATAAAGGCCCAAATTTAGGTTAACATAAGGTTTTTGGGGTTCTGAACATTTTTACTTAGTATACCTGGTCTTAGTTAATTAGACAGTTTTTGAGATATAGTAACTATGGTGTTAAACACCTATGGTGCATTTTAGTCGTTGAAATTTATTATAAATTATATAAAAAGAAGAGAAAAATTCTCAAAGAGATTTAAAAATCTTAAATGTATAAAAATATATAAGCCAAAATTTCGACATAGTAAAGATGATGATTGGATTATGTAAGTCATTTGCTTTGAGAATTTCCATATGTGGAATTTATTGTTGTAAACGGCTTCTTGATATGCAAATATTAGATTTACATATTTAAAATTTCATGCTTTTGCCTCTTTGATTAAGGTACATTTATGGAAATCATCGCCTCTATATAAAGGAATAGAAATCAGATGTACCATTTTGTAGACGTGTTGTATACATGTATTACATCTTGAAGTACGTAGTTTAACGTTAATAGATAAGATAAATAACATTATGAAGTTACACTAAAGGAATTTCCATTCCGATACCCTTCGTTTGTGTTTTTCTTTTTTGAAGGTATGTTAAAAGTATTGCTAGAATGAAGTTAGAGTCCCCAAAAAAGCAGAGAACCTGTAAATATTTACAGAAAGGTTCAGAAGGACCACAAAATCAAATAAACTCCCAACAGTTACAAGAAGAATTAAGTATAAAGACCTATATGAATGAGCTTTCTGATGAAATAAAGATCAGGATTTTTAAGTTTGTTCAATTCCCTTTATGTTTACTTTTAACATGTAAGAGGTGGTATTATATATCCATGGATTGTCAGGCGAGAGGTGAATGGATCGTATACAGTTATGGAAAAGCCCATGCACTTTTTCATGCAATAAGACTCGGACCAAACTTTATTAACGTGGGAGTAGTTCAAATTATAATAGCTAAAGATGGTATCATTTCCCGTTATTTTATTCAAAGACTGCTAATGCACTTTGGATCATATGATCAAACTTTGCTCGATATGAAGCGTGATTATAGTAGTGGACTCGGTAATACTGATCAAGCACAGAATTTGCAAACAACTAAATTGCCATGGGCTAGTGACACACCTATATCTGTCTTTACCTTTCTTTTAAATGAAGCTTCAAAAAAGTTAAAAACCTTAGATCTTGTAGCTAAAGGAAATGACATGGAGTTGTTTCACTTTCTGAGTGCTGGTCCTCATATCATTTCTCAAGCAAGACAAAAATTGAAAAATAATTTTGAATCACTTAAAGAATTAATTTTGCGTTGGAAATTTATTCCCTTTCCCCCGAGGCCAAAATCCAAACAAGTCGAAAATTTACAAAATAATGTTACTGAAGAATATCCTCCAAAAGACGGGTGTGAGAATAATAGACAACTTAACGTTATTGCCAGAGCAATATTAATTTGTAAGGATTTGGTGAACTTATGGAAAGAGATTGGGTATTACGAAATTGTTCATGACGTAAATGATTTAGTGATGCAGGGTGCAGTCTTGATCCTTTTCCCTCCCACCCCCTCATATGATTGGGTTAGGCCAGATACAAAAGGTGTGATTCAAAGGCTTTCAGAACTAACTGAACTCGGATTTGACTTGTCTCATTTGGTGGTTCTAGATATACTACAGCTTTTTGAACACAGATTAAATGACATTGGCAAAACTATAATGGATTCCTTTGTTAAGATTAGATGTCGAACAGAAGAAGCACAATCTAAATTTTATACAGATCTTTTAACTGGTGCAATTGATCCAGAACGGAATATGAAGACGACTAATTTATGGGATTTTTTGCGTTCGTACATTGGTGAAAAAAATGAACAGGATCATTTTCTTAAAGCAATGGAGTATTATTATTGTAAAGGTGATTTTACTATTAAGTACGTTACAAATATGGAGAGAAAACTCTTATTATCTCTAAAATATTATAATTGGGTACTGTTAAATTTTAAACCCCACTTGAAATTAATATCCGAGTCCTTTAAAGATATTTTAGTAACCCGGGTTAGTATAGACATCATAAATCTTCAAGAAAACCATGTCGCAAATGAAACAACATCAATGATATGTGATACATTCAAAGCATATTGTCAGACCTATTGCTATACTAAAGAATTCTTTTTACCTTCACAATTAAAAATTATTTGTAAAGCCACAAGTGAAGATGTACTTGACCCGTTATTTAAATGTTATTTGCACATGGTATTTGAAATTAAACCAACATCGACAACATTTGATATTTCACCGAAAATAGGTGATGATATAAATCAAGATGACAAGTTCAAAGAGGAAAACGCAACCTTATCGCATAATCAAGTGTCACTAACCAATGAGTTTTCTAAAACTGAATTACCAAAACAAGCAGAAACAATGACTCTACAAAATGAAACAGCGGCAATAACTGAGGATATTCCCAGAAAGGGAAATAATTCCAAAAGGAAATTACAAAAGCAATGGTATAAAGAGCTGAAAAAATACCATGACAGGATTCTTAACACACAAAATAAGTTCGATCATTATCTAAAAGAATTCTGGCAAATTCTTGTCGAAACAGAAATTGGCAGAGAATTGAGAGAGAAGGAGAAAGATATTGAAAAGTCTTCTAATCCTCGAGTAAAGAATAATAGGAAATTAAAACAATATAATTTAGGGAAACATCGAAAGATGTCTCCTAATTTAGCAAGAAATCGGAAGATGTTTGAGCCTGTTCGAAAAAGAAATTCGAGACAACTAAGATCAAAAGTCATCAAATAGAATCGATATATAATACACAATTTTTAAATTTTTATAACAACTATTACCAATTACCTCAAAGACTGCGTCAACGACAATATGCCTCTATACTGTTATGCACTACGCACACCATAACTTTTAAACGGAACTAGAATATTTGTATACAATTGTTTTTATTTGTTTTTTTTTTTTTTTTTTTTTTTCTTTGGGCTTTTTATTTGCCCTAGGAGATTTTTTTTTTTTTTAGTTGAAGATTCACGCAGATTTGGGTTGTCACCGTTAGATTTCGTTTTTTTTTTTCTCTCTTTTTCTTCTTACATAATAAACATTATCCATAGTTATATTAGTTTTAAATATACACATAAGTATACAAACAACTGCAATCTACGTATTGATTTAACCTATATGAAAGAACACTCATTATCAAGACAAGGTGTGGTACACGACCTCACATATATCAATGATTTCATATTAACAATTCCTTAACTAACTTTTACTACACTTGTACATTTTATTATCATAATAATATACATTTTATTATATAATAATATACATTCTCAATATGCAGTCGAATTCAAAATGACGATACGATCAAAAACAAAAGAAATTTTTATTTGGATATTATGTGAGAAAGTTTGTCGTTAGAAACAGTTAACAGATAATTCTTAGAGGCTTTTTTCCTTTTATATAATATATATACATAGGTACGTATCTACCTGATATGTAATAAACATTACGTATCTACAAACAAATTTGTATTGTAATAGGGTATGCATATTTCTGTATTTATATATTTATTATGTATTTGAATCGTATCAATTAGTAAACAGCATAAGTGACAAATCAGATTTGTGGAATTATTTGTGATCTTTTCTATATATCGAACTAATTTTTCTTACTAAACCAAATTTATTATACGTATTATGGAAATAGATTCTTACCGTTATGTTCAAAAGGTAAAATTTGAGATTATTCTAAATCTCTCCGATTATATTGACATACAAACAATTATATTTAGGTATGTCATTGTGTATCAGGTGCTATCAACCTATCGTATGTACTTTTTTATTGTATAAAAAATTCTTTTTTTGGATCATAAAAGGTAATTTCATAATAAAAAATATTTACTACATGAAAATCAAAATCGGTTTCACTATTTACTTTTTCTTCGAAAATGCTACAAAATTTCTATAGCCCTATTTTTTTTAAAAAACAAAAACTAACACATATCATTTTTCTCCAATACATCATAATATGTTGATTTGAGTGAAAGATAATATATTAAATAAGTTAGACAATAATTAGTGGAATGTTTAACATTATAAGCACGTTGCAGAATTATGCATACTGTCGACATCCTGGAATATATTAATTTATAGGGGGTGATTATTTTTGAACCGGGGGCATAAGCAAATCCAAATATAGGTTGGAAAAGTTTCCACAGCGAAAAAAATATTTTCTGTTAAACCAATATGGAAGGTTACTATATACAATTAAAGACGAAACAGGAGACAATATCATTCAACTTTGTAATCTTAAAGATGATTAAGAATGGACAACCTTACATAAAATTATGTGCGGAATTTGAAATTCCGTGTGGAATGTCCTCTTTCGAAGATCGGACATTTCCGTAGCAGACTTGAAATGTGTATTTGTGCCCATTCTTAGGTACGTATGGCGATTTTATTTATATAGATGTGCAAATATAATGGCGTTTAATATCAGTCATATTACCTTTAAGTCAGGTTAATCTGTAAAATATACCGGATTCAGTCCAGATTGATCTAATTTGCTTAACTAATCATAATTTTATAAAAAATTTTGCCGAAGCTAAAATTTCAATTTGGACAATCCGAATCTCGGACCAATCGTTTGTTGTTTTTAAAAAATGTATCGGTATGGTAGCCAGAAATATCTTTTTCAATTTTTTAAAGTCTATTAATCCGACATGAAAGCAAAAAAGATTTGATTTTTCAAAGTCTACAAATAATCTAGTAGAACTAAGAAAAAAAAATTAGCATTTATTCCTAGTTAATAGATTTTAAGTTGAATTGGTTTCAGGCACCATGATTAATCCTACATTTTAATTATACATTGAGAACACAAACGCTAAACTCTTGATTTTTATCCTCATAAAGGATTTGAATTATGAGTGCATTAAACTCTATCTTGCTTAAATATTGGTAATAAACTGAGCAAGATATTAAAGTTTAAGAAAAATTGGGTATAACTTTTGACAGCTCCTTAAAACAGATGTCATAATTCAAATATTTTTACTTTAAAAATTATATATATTATACTATAAATTATTTTAAATTTCAAAATATACAGTACTATATATACTGTAATTTTCTGCAAATAGTATCTCGGATTTCTTACAATTTTAGGACAAATCTATAATCAATAGCGTAATTTAATATTACTATACAGTGATTGCGATTGCGCACAAATTATATATCATTTGTCTGTTTGTGAGATTAATCGGATGACTATTTTCCGGAATTGCGGTAATACGTTATTTCTAATATTTTAAAGATTACTATTTTACTAATAGTGGCTTGGTGCTCTAAATATAAATTGTTTAGATCCAAAAAAAAAACACCAATGGTATAATTATAACGCGTTTAGAAAATCATAGGTTGACCACTCTGGGGTAAGTCAATACCAAATGATTCTTGAGTTCTAGCTATTTTAATGAAAATCATTCAAAAATGGTTCCTAGCAACTAAGTATGACGAAAAACAACAAAGTTTTCATATTATTACATATATATAATGATTCTAAAATTAAATGATTTATAGGTTACCAGTGAAGTAAATTCATTGCAACTTATCACGGTACTTACCGTGTAAATTACCACTAAAAACCCTATTTACAATAGAATCGGGAAAGAGTAACCAAAACGTTACGAGAAAGAGATGTTTAAGGTTAAAATGGAAGATTGTTCATATTCGGTCTAATTTTATTAAAAATACAATATCCTGTGTTAGATCCTTCGTTCCATAATCATGAGGATTGCTTTTAATTGGTAATATATGGTACCTAAAATTAGCAAGATTACATTTTATTTCATATGAGTGTTAAATAACATGAATGTCCTACCAACTTATATTAGAAGCGAGCTAGTATGTAATACAAAGTTACATTAAAATTTCTTCTCCAAAAAACTCTAAAAAAAGCACTGTACCCACGTGATCATGAATTTTAATTAAAGATTAGGATCAGAGCAGAAATCTTCCGTTATTTATATACATGATTGTACAGATTTGCAGTTACCACTATTCGTAAAGGTGCTTAGATGTGCGTATTAAGACAATCATTACGCATTACAGTAAGACTACCAATTATAACATAGTTTCGGAATAATAATACGGTTTTGGGGTTAGTTTCAAGGTTAAGCCGATTTTTTTTACGCATCCCTGAAGGACAGATTTAATTCATGATTTGATTGGCCGATCTACATATAAAGTCACATGGTAAGACTCTTTAGTGGATATATTATCGCTATCATTAGCGTTAGAATTCTTGTTGATTTGGCCAATAAAAAAAATTGTCACACTCAACAACTATCTTCCGATTTTCTAAATGAGGCTAGGCTAAACTGACTGTAGGTAACATGACTATCGTTAAAATAGATTTATTTGCTGACAAAATGACTTGTTGACGAGATTAATCTTCGGTAGAAAATTGAATGCCCGTAATTATTATGTCAAATGAGATATGCAGAATATTAATGGGTATATAGTAAAGTAGTACGGTAAGGAAACGCAATTTAGGACGAACGTGTAAAAATCATGATAGTATGTACGGTTTGTGAAAGAAAAAATTCGTCAAACCAAGTTACTTTCCCTACTAACCCTAACATTAAAAAAGGACAATTCTAACCATTAGAAAGGGCTACTTATAAAAATTGAAACCTGCAAGTCTATATCAACTGTATGTACGATCAAAATTTTTAGTATAATTTTCGTATGTCCGTCCGAATCTGTATTGCCGTACAAGTACTGAACACCTAATATTAATTTAGAATTGATATTCATTAACTGAAGGTTTATTTAGTGCCCTTTTCTAATTTGACTATAATGAGTAATTGGTACTCCTTTAATCATTGTAAATTTAACCAAGGTGCGTATGTACGAGATTCAAATTAATAGTTTATATAACAACAATTGCACTATTGTAACAGTCATATTTATAAACATAAAAACAAATGATACTAACTACATGTCACAAGTACAGTTGTAACAGTTCATATATTATGCAGAGTATCGTTCGTACATTTCCACTCTTCAACATTAATAGATACAAGATCTAATTAAAGAAAATGTGGTATATTTTACCATCATTTGGTATCTCGTTCTAACCATATTACGTAATCATAGTAACTGGTATCATAAGACATGATGGCTAAAATTGAGATACGTACGTACATGGTTTTCGTCGTGATGCGCTTACATATGGGTGAGTACAACAGCAAAACCATGCTTAGAGTATATATATTTTATATACTCTAAACATAGTTTTGCTGTGTACTCACCCATATGGTCTTTCAATCATCCAAGAACGTCATGGCGTGGTGTTATAATTTAAAGCAATTAAGTATAAGCAAAATTCTATTACTCCTAATTCCCGCGATCTATGCATAATGATCCGGGATTACTAAATTGGTTTTTCTTTATCGTGAACTTAATGCTTTATGCCACATGAAAAATTTGAATAATTACATTGTCACCTATAATATTTATAAAATGCATATGTATTACATAATACAACCTTAAGGCTAAATATCTAACCCTAACCTTACTAAAATACTAACAATGAGAACTTTTTAGGAACACGTGATCATTAATATATAGTGTAGCGATAGTATGTACATTAATAACGATAATGCAGTGCATTCACTGCATTATCGCTATCAATTAATTATTATATTACGTGAAACGCCACGTGTTTCCGAAAGTACTTTTGCATTCGGTACTTTCCTAAAATACCCATTAACGTTAAGTAAGATGTATTCTATT